AGCTACTGATGATGATGACGATGACGATGATGAAACGTCACTTCCGTTCCTCTTTGTTAGATAAATAATTTACTGCGCGCCTAAGTATTCGTGCCTGCCTAAGTGCGTGAGTGCGCGCACCCGCACTCTCCACTTTTACAATCAATTTATAGCTTGATATTTGTTATTTATTTATTTCATTGTATTTTTTACTTTAATTTGGACAAATACGGGGGTAAATTTACCCATTGCTCTTTTCTACTCCAATACCAAGGGAACTAACAAAACTTAACAAATCTTTACCAAAATATCATTTATCTCCGAAAAACGAACGGGCGATTCACATTCTTTATTGCGGCAATTACTTCTTAAAAAGATAGAGAAAAGTCGACTATACTAGAATGGAAATAAAATACACGGTATTTTCTTAATTAACTACCTGTAATAGATCTTGTAGAATAAAGCAAAAAAGAGGATTGAATTATTTTTCCAGTGCCTTGAAATAAACGATTTGTACACGGGCTTTGACCTAGACTTTTAGTTTAGTTACTATTTTTACCACTGTGCTCTCAAAGACTTCTTGCCTCTTCAACGTGCACATTAATCTTCAAAACGCATAAAAATATAATAAATCTTTTCAAACTCTTTTCAAAATATTCATTGCGGTCAACCAGCGTCGAAGACTACGACGACTACGACGACTACGATGACTACGACGACTACGACTACCACGACTACCACGACTACGACTTACAAACGAATCATTCAAAGCGAACCTCCGCTATAAAAATATTTAATGCCAATGCTATTTATATTATGTTTTACTGGCTAAAATTACTATAAAGCCGTGTGTAAAATTGTCCTACAGTGTGTTCGCTTGGTTTCGGCAAAGCCATGTATTTTTACGCAAGCGTACTCCTCCAAGCGCAATGTACATGATCGGTAACAATACCAAAAAAAAAAAAATAAATGAAATAAAATGAAATAAATAAATAAAAAAAAAAAATAAAATAAAAAAAAAAGAATAAAATAAATAAAAATGAAAAGACAATACGATAAGTATTAAAGTTACACGCCGACTTTAGAAGAAAAAGAAATGCAAACAAAAACATTTGTAAATTCTGCAGTTGTGACAGTTGCAATTGTTGCGACAGTGTGAAAAAAACATTGTCATAATCGTCAGTAATGCTTTACGGAACTCACTCGTTAGAGACTCGTATTGCCAAGGAGAGAAATTGGCGGAAATTATTGCGAATTACACCCTTGGAAATGCTTAGAGAAGTGGCCAAATGACGGAGGAGGAGAGCCGCTCCGACAACGACAACGTACACAAATGGAATAAATGATTGGCGTGACAATGCCGGATAATCTCCGATTTACTTGGGGGAGCACCGATTACGAGGGTCCTTCTCCTCTACCATGCGAAACGAATGATTTATTTAATCGACGAAATGCGAAAATTAATTGAATATATATTTACACGCGAATGGAAAGTAATATCGACGGCTTTTTTTTTACCCGCCCGCATTTTTTCCCCCCCCCCCCTCCCTCCCACCCACCCCCCACCCCCACCCCCCGTCAACCAACCAACGATACATCGCGACATGTCCTCGTCCGCGTTTAATCGTCGGGATGTCGCCGTGATTCGCGATATCGACAAGTGCGCGTCATTGCCAATGTGTGAAAATCATAAAAATAGCCTTGAGTCAGCACGCGACGCGCCTCTCATAAAAATATTTTCGCCCTGGCCGGGGGCGCTGTGACGTCGGCTGGACGGGAAAACCCGCGGCCTCGAATATGTAGCCGCGTCTACGTTGCCCACCCCCGGGTAAGCGAAGAACGGAGAATGAGGAGCAACAAAAATCTACTTCGCCGGCACATCTGCCGATCGGCGGAGACGGACGGAAGACGATGGCGGTGGTGGTCACCGGCTCGCCGTAGCCACAGCCGTAGCCACAGCCGTAGCCGCAGCCGCCGTCACCGCCGCCAACACCGCCGACACCGCCACCGCCTCACGGTGGGGATCCACTCCGGGGACATAAAGCGAACGGCGTGCGAGCCGGTGCTCAGTTGACTTTCGACTTTCGAGTACCGATTGCCGTGGCGCGTGCGCGAGCACAACTACCCACACGCACGCAACACGCTTTGACGCGCTCGTAGGTAAGGCAGCCCTTGCTTGGGCAACCGTTTGTGAAACAGTGAGAGACGTCGGGGAGATCGGGAACTGGAGCATCGAGGCAACGTAACCCGGAGGAGCTTTGTCGAGCAAACGGCACCGCGATGTCGAAGAGTCGGACGCTGCCGATCGCCACCCTCATACTGCTGCTCTGCTGTGCCGAGTGCGCCCTCGGGTCCGCCATCCCCATGTGGGAGTTTCTCACCAGAGAGGAGAAGGTGAGCGACGTAGAAACCTCCTCCCTCGTCCTCCGTCCTCCAAAACCGTCCAACCTTCAAGGCCGATGCTACCGCTACCGCTACCGCTACCGCCACCGCCACCGCCACCGCCACCGCCGCCGTTACCTTCACTTCCACCTCCAACTCCATCTCCACCTTCATCGACGCTGACAACCCCGGAAAGAGACGCTCTATAGCCCGAGTATAGTCGATGCAAATTTTTTTGCGTCCGGCATCGATCAGGTCGTAGCGACAACTCCCGATTTTCCTCGCGTTCTACCCTCGCGACTCGATGTCTGCTTTGAACGCTATACCCGACCGTATAGTCGGGTGGTGAGGGGGGGGGGTGGAATCACTAGCAATCGCTAAGTCCGAACGAACGGCGACTGGCTGCTTTAGAGGAATGCAAGCGACGAAGTTGAACGACTGCGGTCCAGGAGCTAAGTCAGGATCCGATGTCGACAGCCGCTGCAACGGGACTCCCCGACATCCTCGAGTGACGACGACGTGTCGCGTCATCATACAACCTCGTCGGATTTCTAGTTTAAAAAATTCTTTTTCCAATCAGGGCGCTCGGCCAGCGGCATTTCTCGCGATAGAATTCGTAATAGCAATTTAATTTATGAGTAAAGCGTAGGCATTATCGAATGGCAATAACCCAGGTCCTTGCGACTCGAGACATCGAATCAAAGATTCTGGAACGTCGCCGAAGCGTCGTGACTCGATGGCTTGAACGGGCCGTATCAATTTACTCCCAATCGACGATTGGAAACAATGTGATTGAAAGGGCGAGGGCCTGGGTAGCGGAATGGACAGATAATAGTCGAGTCGAGAACGATAAGCACAAGCGCTCACGGTGCATTGGGCATGAGGGGAAGAGAGAAAAAAAATTAACGCGCCAACAAGTGAGTATAGGCGACGCTGAGTTTACGCGCTAATTACGTCCCGTCCGTTGTTTGAATAGTCGAGCGCGCTGTTTGCGATTGCTTTCTCTCGATATCCGTCAAAGAGCTACGGCAGCGGTGGCGTGGGGTGGTGGGGGGTCGAGGGGTTGGGAGGGGGGGGGGGGCGGGGGGGGGGGGGGGGGGGGGGGGGGGGGGGGGGGGGGGGGGGGGGGGTCGAGATTTGTCAGCGTTCTCAATCTCGCTGCGCAAACATGTATTTGGGTCACGCATTGTGCGCGCGATTCGTGTATTTTCGCAGTCCGTGCACTAGCAGGTCTGTCCCCCCGATTATTATTTTTCATTTACGAATGGATCGGCTGCCGCTGCCCATTAACGCGACGCTCTAAGCATTAACGGGAACGGGGCGGGTGGTCGAAAGAGGGAAAAAGGGTGACAAATAAAGGGCGGCGGGGGATGAGGCGCGTTATTAAAGTATCGCTTTAAGCGGGTGGAGAAGTCGTAAACGGTCTGCTATTAGCGCTAACGACGCTTTCTTCACCGGCGTCGATTATTTGCTTTCTCCCTCGTGTGTAATGCGACGCGACGCGACGCGACGCGAGGCGACGTAGCAGTGCCAGTGAGGCGGTAACAACAGCGAAAATTGCGAAAAGCACAAAAAAAGAAGAAAAAAAAATGAAAGAGATAAAAATGTAAAGAGAGACGAACTCGCTGCCGCGCAACGACAATATATTGTTCGAGTTCGACGGTGCGGTGAATCGCGGAAGGGGGGAATGAGACGTCGAGGCACGCGACGCGCATACGCGCACTAACGCACACATATCCGGACGAGTTTCACCAATCGCGCCCGGAATGTCATTCTCGTGCGCTCGCGTAACCGCAAAGGGCAGTGTTTCGAAATGGGCGATCGGTAAGTTAGTTACGAATTTCAAGAAATCAGCGAGTCACGCCCCCCAAAACTCGTCTTCGTTTTTCTTTATCATTGTCGCGGGCGCGCGCACGTATACGCATACGTTCACGTACAGACACTCTCTCTAGTTTGGTCTTCTTCTCATCCTACAATGTTTCTCTCTTTCTCTCTCTCTCTCTCTCTCTCTCTCTCTCTTTCTTTCGCTCTCTAGTTTAGTCTTCCTCTCATCCTTCAACGTCTCTCGTTCAATATATCTCTCACTCTCACTCTCTCTCTCTCTCTCTCTCTCTCTCTCATACTCAAGTTTTTATCGAGACGTGCTTTTGAAACGTCCAAAGTCGCAACGTTATACAACGGGGCCGTCCATTCGTTACGACACGAAGAAATACAAATCGTGAGTAACGGCGTCTCGACCGTCATTCTCGTCGATCCTATTGCCATTTGTTTATATTGGATGATGGATATTCCTCTTTAGCTTCAACGTACGCTTTATCTTCGTTTTCCAATAGAGCGGAAAAGAACGGCAACGGTTGCGCGAGCCCCGTGACGATCAGGTATCGGGGTGCGAGGGTGGAGTGGTGGCTTAATCATCGTAGCTGTAAATGCGCGAGACGATGAATTATAGTAGAGTGCCCGCGGGAACGATAAAGAGACACAATGACGCAATGAGAACGGCTTTATCGTATGGCGGTGGCAATTAACGGGCGATTATAGAAATCACCGTTGATCGCGCGAACGGCTTCCGAATTCTTCATAACGCACAATGCCTTGGAAGATTTCTAATCGTCTTTCCCCCCCCCCCTTAACCTCCATCCAACCCCGTTTCTCCGACTCTTTTCAGATGAGTCACCTGTATCGCATCTTCAGCCAGGAGGTGACGAGGTACTGCGCTGACTCGGCCATGCCCGATTGCAATAAAAATCTGTTGATCACGGGACTGAAGAATCTGGCCAACATCAACGACGACAAACTTGACGAGATGGACCCGTATCAACGCGGCGCCAAAGACATCAGTGAGTATCAGAGATGGTAGTGGTAGTAGTAATAATATTAGTACTAGTAAGACCATTAGTAACTATTATGACGATAGGGATAGGAGGTTAGTATGATCGGTATCCGCGTTGTTGTTTATCGCCGTCTCTTTCACCAGTCGGATGCACCTTGGATTTTCTCTTTTAAAAGCATTGGTTTTATCGTGAAATCGGGCACGCTTCCGAGCCGGGCTATCGCTCTCTCAATTTCCTTTCGGACTTGTCACATTGAGCGTATACTACCGATCGAGCTTTCGATCGCGCACACACGTTCCAGCCGCCGATTGATTTAGACCGCCGAAGATAATGAATACATTGGCCGGCGAGGCGCCTTTCGATTTCGATTCGCGCCGCTCATCCAATTATCCTGGCTGATATCGCCGACACGATGACGGGCGACTTTTCCTTTCCGCGGCAAAAAGCAAATTGTATGAATGGTGAAAGGGGTGGGAGGGAGGGGGCGTGGGTGTGGGTGAGTGCGGGTGAGGAGGGACGGCGGGAGATTCGGCTTTTGTTTACATGGCACATTTTGCGAAGAGGATGGGGTGGGCATTTAATGCTACTATTTCGTCACGCAATAAACGGACATTTAACGAAAGAGACATTCCAGCCACACACTACTTCGTTACATATAAATATACGTAAGCACGCCAATATTTATTCAATCTCTCTCTCTCTCTCTCTCTCTCTCTCTCTCTCTCTCTCTCTCTCTATGTTTCTCTCTGTTTCTCTCTGTTTCTCTCTGTTTCTCTCTGTTTCTCTCTGTTTCTCTCTGTTTCTCTCTGTTTCTCTCTGTTTCTCTCTGTTTCTCTCTGTTTATCTCTGTTTATCTCTTCGAGCGCGTGGTTGTTCAGATGTAGGTTCAAAATTGCTAAATTTGACGTTATATTTGCCAATTAAACGGGAATTTTTCATTTATCTTGTTGCAGTATGGCACGCCATGGTCGGCAATGGAAGGCAGATGGCTTCGCGCCTTGGTCAGCACTCCTTCCACGCCACGGACGCTGATCCCCTAGGTAAATATAAGGAACCCTTAACCATCGAGAGCGACCGGATCCCATGGGCGATATGCCAAGCGGGAAAACTTTTTTCACTAGTGTGCGCACGTGCGCTCGGGGTATGGGCGCCGGCGGGGCTTTCTATCGAGGCCAATACTACGGCCGCCGGAATACCGCTGGAATGGGCTACTGAATTTCGGTTGAGGCGATCGTAACGGTAACGGAGAAACGCGGCACCTCGCGATAGTTTCACCGATAAGACAATTCGAGCGGACTCGTCGGGGCTCTTGTTTTTCTTCGCCCACCGCACACCTTGATCTTTAACTCATATACCCGAGCGGTTATTCGAGTTATTTTAACGAGTTATTGACGCCAGGATCGAGTTTCTATGGCTTCCTTCTTTGTCTTCATCATCATCATCATCATCATCATCTTCTTCTTCTTCTTCTTCTTCTTCTTCTTCTTCTTCTTCTTCTTCTTCTTCTTCTTCTTCTTCTTCTTCTTCTTCTTCTTCTTCTTCTTCTTCTTCTTCTTCTTCTTCTTCTTCTTCTTCTTCTTCTTCTTCTTCTTCTTCTTCTTCTTCTTCTTCTTCTTCTTCTTCTTCTTCTTCTTCTTCTTCTTCTTCTTCTTCTTCTTCTTCTTCTTCTTCTTCTTCTTCTTCTTGGTCTTGTTGAAATCCGTAAAGGCGACGACGAGCGCGCGTGGACGGGCAAAAATGGAGCCTGTATCGGGATTTACGATCTCCGTTTTACGAGCCAGTCGAACGGCGAGGGAAAAATAGGGGCGGGATGGTGGAGAGGGAAGCAGTAGGAGAGAAAGAGAGCCAGAGACTCTCGGGCTCGTGGCTTCTCTTCCGTCTCTGGCCAAACGTACGCGATGTTCTACGCCAAGGGGACAATGTAGTCGCGGTCGGGGTCGAATCCCGTACTCTCGCCCACTGCTGCATCGCACTCGCACACAGAAACGGGCAGAGAGATATTCCGCGGCAGCTTTTCCTTGGAACACTTCCGCGGATCGAGGTCATCTCACAGTCGATTTTCTTTTCTCGCGGTCGTGGCTGCAGCGACTCTTCTGGGAAGGAAGAATAGGCCGCGCCAGCCGAGTGGCTCGACTCGGCTTTCACATTTTCTCCGCGAGCCCGCTTCGCTGCACTTTTTCAGCTCGTTACCACCGACTTGGGGGCGGGAGAGCCGTGCTAACCGTGAAAATACTCTCGTCTCAGTCCCACGGCTTTTCCGCGCTCGACCCGACTCATCGTTATTGTTTATCATCGGTCAGCCCTTTGTACCACCCTCCTCCCTATCCATCTCTGTCTAACCCCTGATACCACACCCAACTCACCCCCTGCTCTCGATAAACGCCCGTCGCACACCTCCGCTCCCGTGGCGCGCTTATTGTTCCAGCGGCCCGGGGACCATGCCCGGTTAGAAGCTAGGCTCCTCCAAACCGTCGAGCGCTTCTTTTCAATAGGAGCCAGCCGTCCGCGAGGTTCATTAGCATAAAATAATATCCGTCTATCCTCCTCCTCGTCGCATACGACGCTTATTAAAAAGTCGAAGCTTTATAAAGAGAGGCGCGCCCGGCGACGAGTTGATTTCGTTTATCACGCGCATACGCGCCATTAAAGAGACGAGGATAATCGCCGGGGGCTGTCAGCGGACTTTTCGAACGATCGGACTAATTAACTTATCGCTACTTTCGTACGGAGATGAATGGGAGAAGCGCCGAGTCAGCTGCCCCCGTCGTACCGCACCGATGGATAATCAATCCATTCAAGGATCGATCAGCCGCGTGAGCCGGGCCCACGATTTGGATTGGAACCCGGGTTGATTGGAAAAACAATGCCGAGGCGAATCGACGCACTCATCGCGCTTCGCCGACGACGTATCGAGATGATTAGTAATGAAGAGGACGGAGAATGAGGCGTCGCTCGATTTCTCGCGCCGTCGACTACATAACGGCGACGACCCCGCTGCTCTCCAACTGGCTTCCTCGGAATACGAATGAAGCCACCTCGTCGACAATGAGCTACGACTACGGCAACCCGATCCCAGGGAGTCGGGCCGAGCCCCTGCGCGCTTGCAAAACGGCCCGACGGAGGCGCGAATAATAGGCGGGCGCTCGTTTATTCTCTCCCTCTTGCTCCTTTTGTCGGACGGCATTAGCATAAGTCGAAGGATCTTGACGGGCGGCTATTGTGTCACCGGGCGATCGACGCCGTGTCGGGGCGACCATTGTTCGAGGCGTCAAATGGATTTGATGGTCACCGATCCTCGCCTATCTCCCAGCCGCACCCTCATACCCCCGCCCGACAAGCCATACAATCATAGCACAGACGTGGACGCTCATCTGCCTCGCGAGCCGACGGCTCGATACTCGGTGTGCCATGTTCGGGGAGCAGGGAGTATCTCACGGAGATTTTACGTGCACCTCGGCGCCTTAAGCCAGATGATTTTGTGGTTGACGACCGTATTTACGTCGACCGCTAATGCCACCCATCTCCACCATTACCATCACCACGTTGCATTAGCCTACGCCTAAGCCAACAATGTAAGAGCCCACGGCTTACGATGACGATATTGAGATATTTTTGCACGCCTGCTGACGATTTCCCAGCCGCGAATCCCTTCCCCCGTCCCTCCAGCCACGATCTAGTCGCGGCTGACTTTTTTCGTCCAACGAGCCGTTACTCCCCCATGGCCGCTTTCGACGGAGCCGGGGATCCGGGGCCCATCGCTCGGCAGCCTACCAACGAGTAATTTCCTTTGGGTTTCAGCCGTCGGAGACAACGAGCTGCCGCAGGAGACCGCCGCGAGCCATGACTATGTGCACCCCTCGGAGCACAGCGGGCCCTATCTGATGGGCCCGATGGTGATCCGCGTGTACCCGGACGGGCGACCGGTGCCGAGCGACGCTCAGCGACCGTTACCCAAGGACGAGGACATCGAGGATATTCGCCATGACGTCCGAATTCCCTTGATCGGGGAGCTCGAGGTGCCGAGGAAGAGCCCCAAGGATGCCTATAAGCCGACAAGAGAGATGCTACCCCCGAGGGAGGTCGAGCAACGGGCGTTCTTCGGCCCCTATCAGCGCTACGGTACGGGCCCGAGATTCTACACGCGCCTCGCTAGGCCCGGCGGCGGCAATAGTCTCCTCGTGCGCGAGAGGATCTACTGACTGAGGGCCCCGACTCACGCTATGACAATCGGAGTTTTCACATCGACGAAAGACTGAATCTGACTCGTAATTCGAGACACGAGCGGGATGGGAGTGCGACGAGCGGGGATGGGAAAAGAAAGCTCGGCCACGTACGATGCACGGGAGCCGAGAGGAGAGACGATCGGCTCCGAAAAGCCGGGGGAACTTTCGAGTGAAAGGACAATTGGCAATGTCGCGGCGTGTGCACGTGAGGCAAGAAAGTGGGGGAGACGGATGACGAATCGCGGCTACGGGGACCCGCGACGCATCGACGTGAAAGTTATGCGACTCTCGCTCGAGAAGCGTACGTACGAAAAGCGCGCACGTTCGATCGAACATTCGAATCTCGCACCGCGCTACCTCCCCCGCGATCCATCGTCTTTATTTATTCACGACGAGGCTTCGCTCACCCCGTCGTCGACGGCTACCTCGCGCGCAATGTCTGCAGCTCCGTACGCGCGCGTCCTTGTATATACAAACATCGAACTCTTGTACATACCATGAATCATTGTAAATAAGCGCTTCATTTATCCCCGTAGTGCTAGCTATATTTTTCTTCGACGTTTCACGGGCCCCGCCACCCTCTCTCCTCTCACACCCCACCCAACCCCCCAACCCCCCAACCCCCCAACCCCTCAACCCCTCAACCCCCCAACCCC